CTCCTGACTGAGCATCTGTCCCCTGCTGGGCACTCACCGGATTCAGAGGAGGCAGCGGAAGGCAGAAGGCTGTGCCCCAGGAGGCTGTGGATGAGCAGGCCCAGGCAGGAGCCCTTTTATCCTGTGTAGGGCTGGTGATGCATGGGCTGGGCAGGCTGCTATTTCACACCCAGGGAGCCGACAGCTGGGGCAGGGCCAGCATCATCCATTCATCACCTTCCTGTGTGCTCACTGTGATGCCTGACAAGGGACACCCAGGAAGTTGCTTCCTGCCCCCTGTCACCTCACTCAGGCCTGGTGTGGTCCCCCGCTGTCCCCTGGGAGCAGTTATTCAGCTCCCATTCCTTCACTCAGGCTCTGCACCATGGCTCTTCTGGGAACACGTCATACCTGGACGGACACGGCTCTTCTCTGTTCTTGAGTAGCTCAGTCTGCAGGAAAGAGAGACGGATATGTTAATACACACACTTGGGAACAGAGTCAAACCCCCAGTGTAAATGCTGCAGTGCAACCATGAATGAGGCCTGCAGGCTTGAAGCCTTGGTCTTCGATGTCAGCCTTCCCTCACCCTGAATATGACCCAAAGCTCCCATATCAAGATGTCACCAGCCGCTGTCCACTCAAGCCCCTGGGCTGAGAGGAGGGGTGGAAGTGCGGTACATAGAGCCAAGACTTCATTTGGGTGAAGTGGCATCCAGGGTCCAACTACGGGGCTCCATAGAAAATGAGATAAAATTGAGTTGTTAGCTTTTGATGAATACAATAATTTAGTAGAGCCAACAGTATATGACATTTGTGTATGGTCTACTGAATTAAGCTGAAGGCCTTTTTCAGGTGAGTAATTTAGCATTCGTTGTGTTGTATTTATTACATTTTTAATGGAAAGTAACTGTCAAGGGTACAATAACATTTAATAATCCTATTTAAATCTCATTTTCTATTAAGTTATATTTCTTATTTATATTTTCTGACATAGATCGATATTCGTGGTCTGTTTAAAACTGGTTGTAGCAGTTTATAAAATGACATATAGAATTATTCAAAAAAGGTATTTTAAATAAAATGCTTTTCCAGTAAGTATGTCCCATTCTATGAATATTAAAGCTTATAGGATTAGTTACTTATTTTTTGTTAAAATTTTTATTATAGGCCTTAATTCCTCCCTCTTTTGCTTCCTCTCTCTCTCTGTCTCTCTGTCTCTCTCTCTCTCTCTCCCTTTTGCTTCACTTTTCAAGTGCTCTTCTCTGAAACATGGAGATTTCATAGTTCTTTCTCCCGAGACTCCTGAGATAATGCATTGCCCTGTGTCAGTGGAAGTTGCAGCTCAGGATGCTAAGCGGGAGGGTGTTCAGAGACACATGCCCTCCAGAGCTGTTTCCCTCACATTGCTGAGTGTTCCAGCAAATAGCTACTGTTCTGGAGAAGGAACTGATGAGAGAGGATGACGAGATTACCTTCATACCACCCTGTGCGAGAAAGCTGAAGATAGATGTAGACTGGTGGAAAACATCGGCCTTCTTCACCAGCTTTGCCAGTGTGCAATGCTTGGGAGAATGCCAGATTGGAAGAAGGACCTAGACTAATTCAGTGGCCACTTTCAGGGAACTCTGGGCCTCATGTAAAGTCCATCTGGTCTCTGGTCTGTGGTCATGGTAGGAGAAAGCACCCCATGTCTGTCTTCCACAGCCTTAGCATTTGGCCTGCAACACTGCTACAGATTTAGTGTTTTTTCTTTCTCCTCACAATTCATGTCTGAAATCCCAACACCCATTATGGTGGTATTAGAGGATGGGGCCTTTGTGAAGTAATGGAACCATGGAAATGCTGCCCCAACAAATGGGGATTAGTGCCCTTAAAAAAAAAGACCTCAGGGTGCCTTCTAGTCTCCTTTCAATTATGTGTGGAAACAAGGAGACGTTCACAGAAATAGGGCAGGAAGAAGCCCTCACTAAAATTTGACTGGGTTGCTACCCTGACACAGAAGAGCTGTGAGAAATAAATTTCTGTTCTTTTTAAGTCTCCTTCCTCTATGGTATTGTATTATAGCAGCCTGAATGAGTTAAGAAAGCCATGGCTTCCTGTTCTTCATACCCCGTTTCCTGGAATTTCCTCTCACTTAAGCCATTCATCTCTAGCTGTCTTCATTGAGAAATGCTTTGTGGAACATAAACCATGGACTAGGCACCCTGGATGGCACTGGGAACATGGTAGAAAACGAGGAGGGCTTATAGCCCAGCACAGAGGGTGAACATCAAGTGAAGAAGGACAACTCCTTCCAGGGTGCAGGGCTCTTAGTTCTCTGAATCTTATCTAAACAAGTCTGGGGTTTGGGCCTCTGGACAAGTGAGCATTTATTTGAAAATTTTGTGATATTTCCAGAAGCATGAGTAGGAGCCATTTTCGGCTAAGTGCATAAAAATTTGAGTCATTTGGGAACAACATTTGAAAAGTAAGCCCAGGATAATTTAGCATGGCCCAAATCAAAGCTTCCAGAACCAATCAGTGAGGAGTCTTCTCTGTTCTTTATGAAATGCAGGTCATCTTCGATTGGGCTTCTCTCTGGTCCACCCCTAACTGCCTGTCTCAATGCTGTGGTTTCAAGTCCTTAATCCTAGAGAAGGAGTGGCTCTTCCCTGGTTGTCCAGGGAGTATTACTGAGGTCCCCACTGAGAGTCTCAATCTCCTGCAAGGAAATATGACAGAAGGTGAAAGAAAGACACAGAAATAAGACTTAAACAGAAAGCAAGGATCTGGTATCATCTGAGCTGATCTGGGCAGCAAAGACAAAAGGCACACAAAACCTCCTGTGTTTACTGATTACAAGCACGGGAATAGGGCAGGGTATATGTGAGACACTTGCCAAGACTAGTCATCACAAGCAAGCTCATAACAGAGGGGCAGTGCATTCCTGCAGGAGAAACAAAGGGAGACCAGGACTCGGTTGCAGTTAACCGGTAACTGATCAGGTCAGTGGGGGAGGCCGCAATGCAGGGAAAGGAATTTAGTTGGAGCCACACTGTTCTCAGCCATGATGTTATCTCAATCAGGGTCCTGCAGCTTCACAGACCAGGACAGAGTCTCCTCTACAGCCTGCCAGTAAACTGGACAGGAGAGTCAGCTGGAGAGTATCGGGTAACCCCACAGGGTCACCACTGCAGGAATGCCATCTCAAGGAGAATAGATATTCCAGGATCCAGAGGGTGCAGGAGCAGCACAAAGACTTGTCAGAGGGATGACCTGAGGTAAGTCAGATGACCTGACTTATTAATAATGGAGATAAGTATGAAGCCTTCTGGGTTTACTTCCTTGGGTATATTTTGATTAGGTCACGTAACTTACAAGTCAGTGATGACTCTTCCTTTCCAACCAATCAGAGATAATTATCAATTCAAGATTTTCTTCTCACCAAAATAGTGTATACTTGGTGACACTTAGCTGAGTCATAATTAGGTAAGATGGGAGGAGAGAGATGGACAATGTTGCCTTTTTGTTTTGTTGAGCTATAATCATATGCCATAAATTCCACCTTTGTAAAGTGTATAATTTGTTGGCTTTCAAGATATTCAAAAGTTGTGCAAACACAACAACTTAATCCAGAACATTTTTATCACTCCCAGAAAGAACCCTGTACCCATTACTAGTCACCCTTCATTCCCCATTGTCCTCCTGGTAACTAATAATCTACTTTGTGTTTCCATGGATTTGCCTATTATACACAATGTACCACTTTTTGTTTTGATTTCTTGCATTTAGCATATGGTTTTCAAGGTTTATGTATGCTGTGGTATTTATTAGTACTCCATTTCTTTTTATAGTAAATAATGAATATTTGGATTATTTCCAATTTTTGACCATTAAAAATAGTGTAGCTATGTACTTAGTCTTTGTTGTTTTCTACCTTCTGCTTTCAGTTTAGTTTGCTCCTTTTTTCTATTACCTTAATGTATAAGATTAGTTTATTGATCTGAGATTTTTCTTCTTGTTTAATATAGGTGACTACAGCTGTATACTTCTCTCTGAGCACTCCTTTGGATGTATCTCATAAGTTTTGATATGTTGTGTCTTCATTTTTATTCATCTCGAAATGTTTTTAAATTTCCCTTCTGATTTCTTCTTTGACCCATTGGTTGCTTATCACTGTGTTGTTTAATTTGCAAATACTTTTGAATTTTCTAGTTTCCTTATCTACTAATTTCTAGTTTCATTTTACTGTGGTTGGAGAAAATACTTTGGTTTTTTTTTTTTTTGATACTGGGGATTGAACTCAGGTCCTTGTGCTTGCGAGGCAGGTGGAGGAACCACTGAGCTAAATCCCCTGGCCCGAGAAGATACTTTGTATTATTTCAGTTGTTTAAAATTTAGTGATGCTTCTTTTTAAAGTCAAACAAATCATCAATCCTAATCAATGTTCCATGTGCATTTGAGAAAAATGTATGTTCTGCTATTGTGGTTGGAGTATTTAAAAAGAGGTCTGTTAGGTCGACTTGGTTTAGAGTGCTGTTAAAGACTTCGTTTCTGTGATGATCTTTTGTCTAGTTGTTCCATTATTCAAAGTGGAGTATGAAAGGCTTCAATTATTATTATTATTATTACACTGACAATGTATTGTCTATTTCTTTGTTAGTCTTGCTTCATGTAATTTGAGACTCTATTGTTAGGTGCCTATACATATATGTGCGGTAACCATTTCTTTAATCGACTGATCTTTTTATCATTACAAGATGTTCTTCTTTGTCTCTAATATTTATTTCTCTTAAAGTCTATCTTGTCCTATATAAGGATGGTGATTCTAGCTTTTTCATTTATTGTTACATGGTGTATGTCTTCTATCTTGTACTTTTAATCTGTTTATGACCTTGAATCTAAAGTGTCTTTTGTAGACTGTCCTTTGTTGTATCATTCTATTTTATCCTTTAGGTCAATTTCTACCTTTTGATTGTAGTATTTAACATATACACATTTAACATAATTACTTTAAGGTAGAATTGATGTCCCAAAGAACATCAATTTTTGTTCCTGTTTTTTTCTAATATGGTTTTCATTTAATAGCTAATTTCTAGTGTACTCTTTCAGTTTCTATGTTATATATTTTGCTGTATTTTTTGAGTTATTTTCTCAGTAGTTACTTTTGGGATTATTAATATCAGCATCTCAATTTAAAACAATTCCATTCAGATCACTAAAAACAATTTTTGATAACACACGAAAGCTTTGGTTTTACATAGCATCATTGTTTTTCTCTTCTACATGCTGTTATTGTCACACAAATCACATCTTTATTTGTTATAAGATCGTTAACCTAGTTTTATAATTATTGCTTTACGCATTGTTTTAAAATCAGATAGAATAATAAAGGTACAAATACAAAATGTATTTATACTGTTTTTTATATTTATCTGTGTACTTTATCCACACTCTTTTATTTCTGTGTATGAATTTGTGCCCATATTAGTGTCCTTTCATTCAGTCTGAAAGACTCTCTTATATTTCTTGTAGAGTAAGGGTTCCAGGCCACAAGGTCCTGTGTGTGTGTGTGTGTGTGTGTGTGTTTAAATCTAGGAATGTCTTTATTTCCCCTTATTCTTAAAGCATAGTTTTGCTAAACAAAGTGTGGTGGTGCAAATTTGGGATCCTATCACTTGGGAGGTGATGGAATTAGAATTGTAAGTTCAAGGGCCGGGATTTAGCTCCGTGGCACTGCACCTGCCTCGTAAGCGCAAGGTCCTGAGTTCAATCCCCGGTACCAAAAAAAAAAAAAAAAAAAGAATTGTGAGTTCAGGGACAGCCTGGGGGACACAGTTAGTTCAAGGTTAGCCTGGACTAAGCAGTGAGACCCTTTTTTAAAAAACAAAAAGGAGAGTTTTTCTGGATATAAAACTGTGTAAAACTATTGGCTCACACTTGTTTTCTTTCAGCACTTTAAATATGCCATCTTGTTGACTTCTGTTTGGCATAGTTTTGGATGAGAAACCAGCTGTTAATCTCACTGTCTTACTTGTATGTAATGAGTTTTTTCTCTCTTGTTGTTTTAAAGATTTTCTCTTTGTTTTTGTCTTTTGATAGTCTGATTATGATACGCTCATATATGGAGTTCTCTGACCATATCTACTTGGAGTTTGTTGCTCTTGGATGAGTAGATCGATATATTTTAAAAAATTGATCTATTTTACAAAATCAAATTTAGGAGGTCTTGACTTTTATTACTTCAAGTATTCTTTCTGTCCTTTTATTTCTAACATCTCTTACTGGGGCTCTCATTATGTGAATATTGGCGAATTCGATGGTACTCCACACATTTCTGATGCTCTGCTCAGCTTTTTACAATTTTTTTTCTTTTTGTTCCTCAGATTAGGTAATCACAATTGCTTTATCTGCAAACTCTCAAATATGCTATTGAGCACATCTAGGGAATTTTAATTATTATTCTTTTCAAGCCAAAAAATTTCACTTGCTTATTTTTAAATTCTAATTTTTTATTACTATTCTCTATTTGGCAAGACAACATTCTAACACCTTCTTTTAGCTCTTGAGGCATAGTTTATGTTAGTATTTTGAACACATTGAAATAGCTGATTTTCATCTTTGTCTGGTAAATCTCCCTCAGGGACAGTTTCTGTTGACTGATTTGTTCCTGTTGGGTGGGTCATATTTTGTTGTTTATTTGCCTGCCCAGCACTGTGCCTGAAATTATTTTAAATAATATAATATGGCAATCACTTCCCCACCCCTCCCTGGGGTTTGTGGCAGTTGTTTGTTATTATTGTTATTTTTGTTTGTTTATCTATTTAATGACTTTCCTGAACTAGTTCTGTAAAGTTTGTATTCGTCCATATTTGTGGTCAAGGAATTCTGTTAGCTAAGGGGACAGCAATTTCCTTAAATGCTTTGTGCTGAGAAGTACCTCAGTTTTTGCTGGGAAATTGTGTTTGTGTGTGTGTGTGTGTGTGTGTGTGTATGTGTCAAGACTTCAGAAAGCAATTTACAAATATGCTTTGGGTTTCATTTCACAAATATGTGCAGAACTTCAAAAGTATTCAAATGTGGGATCTTAGGACAGTCACAGGTCTTTCCTGGGCATACAGATGTTCTTAGAAATCCACATAGATGCCTAGGTTTTCAGGAATACGTCAGAGATTTCTCTAGACACCTTGCTCCTCAGGCTTTTCATTAAAGCTTTTTGTTCGACCTCTGGTTTGCTCAATGGTTACCACCATCTCAGACAGCTGCGATGTTAACAATTTCCACTAATTGTTTTCAACAACTGTTGTGGGAGCAAAGCTGTTGGCAGTGAGTGAGCTCCGAGTCAGGTGGAATAAAGAGGTCCCCTGCTGCCTGGGATTCCAGGGGACCGCCATGTAGCACAGCTCATCACAATTCTTTAGACATGTAGCTTTTGGGCCTTCCAGACCTTTTCTTTTCTCCCCAGTGGCTACTAAAATTGTAGTTCTCAAGAGTGCTATGGCACCAGGGACAGCGAGAGGGGAATAGAGGACGTTTAAATGGCATAAAGTTCACTGTTCTTACTGATATTCTGCTGCTTTTCTTGATTGAACAGTTCTAATATTTTATAAACCTTTCTGGTAAATTTTCAGAGCCAATTTCTTTTGATAAATTGATTTTGACAATTTTGTGAGTTCTTGAGACTTTTTAAATGGAGGAGCAGATTTTTAGGCCTCCAGGCTCCACCATTCCTAGCCTTTCCTTCTTAACTGGACAATATTTGTCCCTACTTCATCGTCTAGGTTATAAACTCTCCTACAGTAAGGTTTATCATTTTGAGAGAAACAGTTCACGTTATTGCCCTTACAGACCTCCATGTATAGCTGGGATATGTGAAGCAATGAGATTAAGCTTTTCCTCTTTGTTTTTCAAGAATTTCCAAAAAGCAACTCCTACCTTGTCAGGTACAGGCCCTAAGAATCCCCCACTTGGCAGATGGAGGCTGGAGGGAGCCCTGATGCTACCCCTCTCTGGCCTGCTAGGGAGGATTAGAAAGATTAGAAAGCTACAAAATGATGAGAAGTGTCCCAAGTAGGACAGAACACTGTGGCTTTCTTATTACCTTTCATGTAAGGAAGGGAAGACGTTATTTCTCCAACCCTCCACTAGAGAAAAGCGACAGACATTTCAAGAGACATTTTGGAGTTTAGAGATGCCTGAAAGACAGGGAGACTGAAATTTTATAGCTCAGCTTCGTTACTAGACTTGCTGTGGGCTTATTAGAGCTGCAAACAAGTTGGAA